CCCCAAAACCCCAAAACCCCAAAACCCCAAAACCCCAAAACCCCAAAACCCCAAAACCCCGTGAAGATAGGACCATTTCTAATATTAGATTTAAATGTTGGTCAAAACTTTGGTTTTATTGGCTGCCTTCCAGGTGGTTTTAGTGTCGGGTTCGCCTGAATTTGTGGGTATTGGTAGAGGGCTGGTGGCTTCTACTAGCTCTGCAGACTGAAGAACCTGTATTAATAATAGTGCTCAGAGATGGTGTGCTTCCACTGGCACAGAACAGACTGTTGGAGAGTGATGCAATTCAGGAGATACTACAGGATATTGTGCCTCAAGTAGTTCAGGAAATAGCTATGTTTGATCCGACTCCAGCAACATTGAGAGTAGCGGAGGTTTCATACTATGTCCTGTTGATGGTACTATTTGAGGATCCAGAAGTCATTCTCTTAGTGACACATCGAAGAGATATATATTGGAGCACTCATCAATTACTTCAAATGTAGTATGTTCATATAGATTATTCACAACCAATGGAGATGTTTCAAAGGCCAAGATAAAGGCGAGTAAGCACTTTGGAGAGATTATATCTCAATCATTTCTTTCTTCCTCCTAAAACTTTAGCCTAGTAAGCTTGGATACTTGATGTGGCTTTCTCTCAGCCTGGTTGGCTTATCATCAGAAATTTTTCATTCTGTGTTTCAAAATTAGTAAACAAACAGATTTATCAGAAATTCATTATTTTTAGTAAAAGCCTAGATTTTTATTTTTGCTAAAACTTATGTCATGAAGGAGGAACGAATTGTATATGTCTAAAGAACTTAGACTCTTCAATAATATCAGCGCTTAATTAGAGGAGGATAACAGCTCATTATTTTATTCTCTTTTTTTCATAATTTCTTTGTCGTCTTTTGCCTATCCTATTTTTGAAAGTTATATTCTTTTTGTCGCTATAACCTTTCCCATCAAAGAGAATTAGCTTTGTGGCAAATTTTCAAATCCTAAGATGGCGTATACTTCTCTTATATTTGATGCTTCTTTTTTCCGAATGGCACTAGGAGCATTATAACTCCTTTTCTACTACATTTTCCTCTGATATACAACTCATTCTCAATTTTAACTATAACTACATCCATAATATCTCCTCATTCCCTCCAATCCAATCACTACCCACCCACCTTGAGCCACCCCTATTCCTCTTCTTCCACCTCTGGACTCCTCTCTAACCATCTCCTCATAGCTACTTTGGCTGGCCTCACCACAACATTATTCACAGGACCCAGAGACAAGAACGAGTACGCCTACAAGGCCACGCTTGCTGCTAACAATGAGCAATCAATCTCCTTCTCCACCTCGACTGATGCCTATCTAGTAGTCGAGCCTTCAAGCACTACTAATAGTTTTAGTATCACTATTGAGATTAATGGAGGCGACAGCTCGTAAGTGAGATTTGATAATATTTTATTAGTGCAGTGGTAGTCTGGGTGGTGAGTATTGTTGCTATTTGTTGTTGCTGTGGATGCTGTGGGCTTGGCATATTGCTGTGCATTTGGATGATTAAGAAGAAGGGTAAGGAAGGTAAGGAAGGTAACCCTAAAACCTCTTTCGACAACCCCGAGGCCAGAGAAGGAGTCTACCAAGAAACCGCACGCAAAATGAACTCTTCCAAAGAAGCCAACTCTTCCTCCCACCTGCGTACCCCTCCTCTAACCCTATAGCCAACGCAGACAACATGTACGACATGTCTAAAGATCCTAACCACCAAGCCCCAGATGCTGAAGGTAAGCCCATTTGACTCCAATAAGCTAACCCTCTTATTTAGAACAAAACTAAAATTTGGAAGATCAAAATCAAGAAATCTCAGCTGATAACTAACTTTTGAAATAGAGAATTCTTTGATAAATACTATCTCGAATTCAATCCTTGATAATATTCGGGGTTTTGGGGTTTTGGGGTTTTGGGGTTTTGGGG